AAATATGTAAAATAATTAAAAACACACTTAAAACTCTTAGTATTGTTTAATTTACAGAAGGCTGCAGCCAAATAGCGTTGTTTATTTAGTAGGGAAACAAATAATTTTACTTATTTTTAGGTAGGTTTTAGAACGACAAATTGAGGGTGATTACAGGTCACCGTTAATTACAGCTAGCGGGTAACCAGCAATACTTCACCTCGTGCGATAAATTTTCTTTAAATGGATTTATATAAACATTTGCTCTCTAAATTTTACCCGGATCGTCTCGCTCGCAAGCTAACCACAAGGAGATCAAGCGTGGACAGCGAGTGGATGACTTGGTAAAAACCCATACAATCCGCTAGTTAGACGCTTATCGTGCGTTGAATGCAAACCACTCACATGACTTGTTTGGCCTTGTTTCACTCACTTTGCGTTGACCACGTGAATTTCCTTCGCTGACCAAGCTAAATTGATTGGCAGTTAGCTCGTCGACTACTTTTCGACAATGAGTAGGTGCCGAAAGTCGAGGCAGTGTTGATAATGTACCGGGTGACATTAATGAACGACACCTTGTCGACATCCAGCTTGCTATCTATGTTTATATGCCTATGTTGTATATCTATGCCAAAAATCGTAATTGTATGTTATAGCATAAGGGTAAGCTAAAGGGTGTGGTCCTGGTCCTGTGTATTTGCCGATTATTCTTGTTCTTTTTCTGTCTTGCATACTGCCACATGTTATTTGTCCTTTCTTGCTGTCAATGTCATAGTTGCGCACATGCATGGATCGGCAGTAGAAATACTATTTAACAAGTTTGCAATTCATTTAATTATTAGTTTTATATATGAGTTTTCTTTCTTTTGTTTTTTTTAGGTTTTCCTGTATTCTGTCCTACCACAGATAAATCATTCTTTTTTTATTTTTTCTTTTAAATTTTTTGTACTTTTTCTGTAAAGCTAAGGATTGTAAAAACATTCCGCCTACTTTGTTATTATCTTTTTTTTTAAGTGTACATTGGTATGTTTGTATAATAATAATCTGCGTCATCAACCTTAGGCCCTGCCAGAATCACCAGCGCTGCAGCAGCCCTGGTGCTGCTGCAGTATCAAGCTGAGGCAGGGACCTAGTTGGCCAAAATATATATATATTTTTTATTGTTTTTATTTAGGTTAAAAATACTGGTAATATTAGTTTAGTTATGGTCAATAAAATTTCTTTCTTTCTTTCTTTCTTCTTGTTACGACACTCAGGCTAAGATAACACTTTCATTTAATTCATACACTATAAAATACTAATCTAAATAAATCTAATCATAAAACTTAACCCAGCCTGTTACAAATTACGGTGTTATTGCTAAAAGCTCCAAGACAACCCTAGAAAGCTTTATAGAAAGTAATAGATGATGGTGATATATTTTTCGAAATGATGTTTTAACTATCTATAAAAATAAAGGTAACGTATCTCTGCTACATCAGTCCCCGTAGCATAACCTCCACAATTTTCATTATATCACGTTGTATGTCGCGTCTAATTACCTAAACTCCAATTGGGCGTGATAAAAACGAGCGGTATGTCATTTCGCGGTGCTTATGCTAGGGCTACATATATCTCCAACAAGATTCGATAACATTAATTATCATCCACCCTTGATGACCACAAAATAGCCTTCTGACGAGATGTCATGCATATTTTCTTACTTTGACTTACGCGACTACAGCTCTCCGTGGCCGAATGCAACGCTCACGGAAATGTGCGCGGGCGCACAATGGGCGGCGAGATGAAAGCAAGCTTAATATGCATGACGTAATGGCTCCTAATGGCCGCGTGCGACCATTGTGGCGGGATTTATCGGCGGGTCCTGGGGGAGCTCACCTCTTTCGCTGATTACTTCTGTATTTAAAAAGATAGAAGGAACTCCGGTCATAATTTTATTATTGAAATCAAAAAGGTCATCTTGCAAATGATTGACGTATGAAGGAATGAAATTTGACGACTCATCTATGTTAATTTTGAGTACTAATTCAGAAGCTTTATTGTTTTCGGAAAGTCATTTTAGACAACTATTATAGCGCCAAATATGGCAAAACGGAGGAGCAATGAGAATATTAATTATTTACACCTTCCGCGTTTCTGTTGCTCTCACGGCAAACATATTTTAAATGAAGTTCAACGAAAAAAACTATCCATTCTTATACTATGAATCTTAAGTTTTGATTCCTTTTTTAAAACCATAATTAAAGACATAGTTTCTGTACTGCAAAAAAAATTTAGATCTTTTATTATTATGCATGACCCTATTAAATTGGAGTATGCTACGCCCAGACCATTGATTGACTTGATTTAGCATTGAAACATTGTATGTATTCAAACGGATTTATTTATTGATTTGCCTTAAACTATCACTGACCGATCACTATTCAGCGTTTGCGGTTAAAGATGCATAAAACATAGCTCCAGCCATCTTCAGACTTTTAGACACAGTTTAATTTATAATACAGTAACTTTAATCAACCTAAAAAATGATGAATTCCTGCAAAATACTCCTTTATGCATTAACCATCATAAGAAAAGACACTGAAATCTGCAGGTAAAGTGAAAGGTTACGCGGCATAATCCCTAAACGGGGATCTTGCGGTTTCGTACTTAGCAGCTTAGAGGGTATTCGCAAGGGTTTTTTATCGGATATTATGCTGTAAAGCGCCCGTAAGAGTTTCGGGGTCCTCAGTGGGCAGCCACTGCAGGTGCCCTTAAGGCTTGCGGGAGCCAGGAGTGAGGTCCGTTCGGCGATGTGCCTCTTAAAGACGCCGTGGTTTGTAAATAGAGTAAAGTGGAAGGTTAAAACTACACTTAAAATAACCTTTGAAGTAGCTATCGACGACCGACCAACGACAATAGTGCGTACACTGCAATATCAAGTAGCTTGACTCTAAGCATCAAACGACGCTCCTTCTCGCTTGCGTCCACACCTTTATATTCAAAAACTTACTACGCTAATTTCGTTATTGCATAGCTTGGATCTCATGTAAACTAAAGTGACAAACCTCCAGTCCATCGCCTTCAATGAAACTACCCTTTTATAGCATCGACAAAAATCGTAACAAAAAATTATTCTATCTATATCCTCAAATGTCATACCAAATTAATTTGTACGTGGTTCTTTATAGAAATTTGGTCTATTTCGAACCCTACATCTTTAATTTCCATCACGAAATAAATCCTTCTTCAGAGTTTTGTATTAGGCGCAAACGTAACTGGACATAGACAGACGGATTTACTTTCACATTAACAATATTAGTATGGACTAATAAAAGCGTAGATAATAATCAAAACCAGGTACTATAAACAGTATACTGTTTACCTATGATACTGTGCCTTTGATCTCACGATTTACATGACAACGCCGTCAAGAGCGAAACGGTAAATCGAACCATGAATATTCTATTCTTTGGTCTTTTCTATTTTGCAGGAAACCTGTAACTTTGCGCCCTGAATTTTTAACTTTCGTTCTAAATAAACCTGTAACAAGTATTTTTTCTGGTGCCTTGAAGTAAAATAAATACCTAATTACTTTCTTTGTATTTTTAGTTCGCTTGACAGAATAATATATAGCGTTGAATATGAAACGAGGCAGAAAAATATGGAAACTAGTGCACAAAGAAACTAGAGAATCAACGACACTAATAGTCTAGCAAAACTAGTGAACGAGGAAACTGAAAAATTACGAAAACAGCAAACTAGGAAAATTGTCTGCCTAGCGTAACTGATGAATAGGAAAAACCTTGCGCTTTTCGAAGCTGACGAATAATGAAATTAGCGGATCGCAATATTGACAATTTCACGAAACTGACATCCTAGCAAAACTAGCGAAGGGGGAAACTGAAGAATCAGGAATTGCCTAACTAGCAAAATTGACAACCTACTAAAAGTGTATGATGAGTAAACTTGTGAATTAGTGAAATTTACAACTGACCAGTGGTATTCTAACTCAGTGTCTCTCTTTGAGTACGCTAACTCATTGTCTTTAAGACGGGAGTGCTTTTATATCTTAAGTATGTACTTGTATAAGATCTGTCGTTCAACTCCTCCAGTTTTAGCGTATTTTTAGGTATCCTCAAACATATCGCCATTTAAAAGATTTCTGTAGACTACTCGGAAAATATTTCATGGGATTTCCAGCTCCATTTAACTAAAAAGGGTGCGTTAAACTTAGGAAATACTTAAATAACTGCCGTAAACCCACTTTGTACGGCACTAATGGATCGTTGTTTTTATACGGAACTTTTGTGGGTATTTCCGTCAAATAACTAAACCATAAAAATGTAGAATAAGCTAGCTCCTACTCCTTGCTTTTTATAATAATAAAATTACATTGTTACTTAAATCTGAATTCTAAAAAACAATACTTTAAAGATTCACTTCTCTTTGATAATTGCAGATGGAACTTGACCCAGCATGCTTTTAGTGTCATACAGAAAGGGCAGATCTTCTGATTGAGCCATATACATAGTTCTTAACGAGAAATTATAACTCATTAATAAGAGTTAAAAAGACTCAATTGCGTTTTAATTTTTAGAAATGTTTGAAAAATGCTTCGTCATATAAATTTGTAATTTAAACTCTTCTATAGATTCCCCGATCGGAATATAAATATATTTGAGTTGTTAGCAATAACGGGAACATGTCATATATAACGCCACATACTAAACATTACAACAACCCACATTACCGACACTTACAGAAGAAAAGATAACGGGGTCAAAATCAATGCAAAAACAAATGAACGAGCTCGGAGCAAGTTCACACCTCGCGGTCGTTCCCGACCCCGCCTCGAAAATTTGCGCCCTGGAACCATAGACAGCAGAACTTAATAGACACCGCATTGGCCAAGTTTTTTTTTCAAAAATGGAATCTCTGAAATCACAGACAATTTCAATGAATACCTCACTATCGTAAAGTTTTTTTTTATATTTTTTATAGCTAGTTCAGGCAAATAACTCTACCCCACCTGATATTAAATGGTGATAAAGTCCAAAGCGAAGATAGCTGGTACAGCAGTTATAAACTGCCACACCAACCATCCTCAGCTTGCCGGCCTGCAGAAATGCTTATTCACACCTTTCTTAAAGGACCCCAGATTGCAGGAAGGAGAGAACACGTGCGACAAAGAATGAGTCACCAAATTTCTGTCAGTTTTGCTTGTAGGATCATGGCAGGGTTAAGTTGGACAACACGAAAGTGATTTGTCATATTTCATGTTGGCGAATTCATTTTACGATAAATAAGCTTGATGATGCAGTAGTCAGCGCGTGCGATCGTAGAAGTTGAGAAACTTTCGCAATGGCTGATTATATAATGGGTGATATTTTTTTTTATCACGAGGTACGGTAAGGATATTTACACTCATCCAAAGAAGAAGGGCAGCCAAGACATCCCATGTGTAACTCTGGCGGAAACACGTAACCGTAATTGTGACGAAGAGGGTTCCATCGCGGTGGAGAGGAAGAATAGGAAGCCCACTCGTCGCAATCTGTGCAATGTCGCCCCGATCGGACCGAATAACCTGCTGCGTCCAGTGATACCTGTGACACTCCTGTATGTGTCCCGCTTGCATTACATCACGAAGGCGGAGGGGATCGCAGAATATTTGCGTACGAAGACCAATTTCTCCCTGAGGGTCGCGCGTTTGGAATCTTGCCACGACGTGAATTTTAATTCATTTGTGGTGAGAGTGCCGACTGAACATCTGACGACCTTTTTGAAAGAGGAGCTTTGGCCGAAAGGTATGGTGTTCCGGCGTTTCAAAGGCAGGCTACCTGACACCACTCCGCGCCACACGTCGCCAACTAAATGTGTTATTTCATATCTATGTTAGACTATAAGGTATATATTTCTATGGGCCTACGATGCCTGAATACAAATAAATAAATAAATAAATTTGCCATCGGTTCAGCTTGCATCTGTAGTCGCAAGCACCTGCACCACAGGGCGGGCGTAAAGGGTGGTGGGTGTTGGCCCATCCTTCTCGTTCTATCCATAGGAAATGTCTGTTCCTCAACAGCAGGGTTAAGGAGCTAATGCATAGCGGACGCAGATTGCGTCGTTGCACTCGGGTGTGGGCGCTGATTAGTTCGATTGTTTGATGTTGCGTCGTTTGATTGGCTATTAACTGTTAGGTAGAAGTGTAGTGGGGGCGAGCCGGAGACATCGGTTCCCGTATATAAGTTTCACTCTTCTAATCTCTATCTGTGTTCTGTGAGTCAGCTAGTATAAATTTAAAAAAGCATACTGAAAGCGTAACTGCTTCCGCTATGCCTCTTAAGCTGTGTCTATTTCGCTCTAACGTCTGTGGACAGCACATCGATATTGCATCCGTGAACGTGACGAATCCGAATCGATCGCGCGCAAACATCCACCGACGCGCAAATCACGGGCGCGCGCGATGCAGATCGTTCCGTCGTGCGGCCTCCGGGCGCGACCGTATAGTTGGCGGGACGGACGGTGTACATGGGAGCTTTTGGTGTTATATACGGCTTTTGGTGTTTTGATGACCTCCGTGGCTGAGTGGTTTGTACGTCTGGATTCATAGTGTCGCCGACTCGAGAGGGCCCGGGTTCAAATCGCGGTGGGGGCAGATGTTTGTATGATGGATACGAGCATTTGTACTCCAGTCATGGATGTTTAATATGTATTTCTATAAAAATATACTTATATATGTACAGTATATGTATTCTATCCGCTACCCTAGTATAACACAAGCCTTATAGTGCTTACTTTGGGGCTAGGCTAATTGGAGTGTTTTTTTTTATATTATGCGTTTATGCTGTTTGTGCTGTTTTATGCATTATAGTGTGTATGCTGTTGGTTGCAGATGACCTTTACAGCGTCACCGGGTTTGGGGACGGCGAGATCCTAAGGGGACCTCAAGCCGAGAACTGGCGAGTGCCTCTAGAGGTATTCCAAGCGGATGGCGTCTCCCCCCGGGGGGAGTCTCCTCTCCGTCTGGAGCCTCTAGACCACTCGAACCCGAGGGGGTCAGCTCAACTAAAGGGCGTCTCTGAGACTCGGACCTCTGCTCTAGTTAGCCGTTGCCGTGGGGACGGGGAAAAATGCCCAGGTACGTACCTGTACCTGGTGTAGCGTGTCATGTGTAGACCGGGTCTTCGCACTCTTATCCCACAGGTGCGGTATTTGCCTAATGCTAAGCTAGTATGCACGTTTGCTAGCTGTGTAGTGTTGGTGTTTGTGACCTGTGTGGGAGGAATCGGAGGCACGTTGGCGTGGGTGATTTCGTCGTCGGAGTAGTCTAAGACGTGCCTAGGCCGACGGAATCGGAGGGACCTACGACTGGAGGACAGGAGGGCGGACGTATGATAACTAATCGCTTTAACTACTAAGGGGTTCGGATGATGCGCGGCTTTATCGAAGTAACTCCTCGTGACGTCCTTCATATACCTGGCGATGGAATCTAATTTGAGGTCGCGATGCAAATCGATGTTGCGCATGTACCACGGGCAACCCGTGGCACCGCGCACCACACGATTTTGCAGCGTTTGTAGTGGTTTAAGACGCGACGGAGGTACGTGGGCGAAGCAAACACTCGCGTAGGTTATGATAAGGGGGAATCGAACCAGGGCCGCCCGCGAGACAGGGCATTGTCCCCTAATCCCCTCCCCCTCAGCTATGGCCTTGAACCTTGCCCCCGTAGGCCATAGGCTGGAGCCCTTGACCCAGGGTGTATCTCCAAGATACATAATATATTTTTAACATCCATCCACCATCTAAATTTTATAAAACTTTGCTTCACATTCATAATCGACAGAATACAGGCGCGTTATTATCTGTCGATAATATCGGATGCGTTATTGCGATATGTCGTCACACATCTATTACGTCGTTATTATCGCAACAGTGTTTAAATTCGTAGCCGCTCTCATACTGAATATACTAAAAACATACTTACAACACATCCGATATTATCGACCGATAATCGCGGGGTATTTTAAAGAGCCCCATAGAAAGAAAATAAATGAGAAAATCACAGCAGCATTGTACACCATATAACGGCCTATAGACTTCTCATCATGACAAATGAAACGCTGCTGGATCGGGCTCGGCCGCGGGTAAACAATTCACACTTGCACTCGCAGTGGTAAGTATACGATAACATTAATGTATTAGTGTAACAATTTAAATGAAAGTTAAATCACGCAACTATGAAAAATAAAGCCTCAAAACGATAGAATAGGATTATCATGAAAGCTTTTGTCACACAACGAGTATCTGATATAGGTACAGTGCATTCTGGCAATTTCCACACCGCTTTCTGTGTTCTATTCTACCGCGATTCGATTAAAACCTGCCCCTCTCACACATCTATTCGAATTCAAATTCAATAGGTAACCTTATAACTTAAAGCTGCACGTTTAACTCGAAATTTAAATTAAATTCATAGAAAAACGCACATCATTTCCACATAAGAATGTTTTAACTTAGCAACGTGATAATTACTTTTACATAAGAAGGTTTTAAAAGAAATATTTTGGGGACTGGCATAACCATGAATTCATGTCCCAAGATAAAATCAAATAAATGTTACAATAAAACGAAGCTGTACTTAGACAGATACATACCACTCGGCGACGGCACGTGGGAGAACGCTTGCGAGCGACCCGCGGGCTACTATCTGCATACATTAACTACTTCAACGCGATTGATACGTAGAACCACTACCTCTGATCAGAAAAATATGTGCTGTTATAAAGCACACATAAAAAATCCTCACCTTGCCGGTCTGCATGTTGCTTCTTCACGTCTCTTTTAAAGGATCCCAGGTTGCAAGAAGGAGGGAACACGTGAGCGGGCATAGCATTCTATTTTCGGATAGTGTGAGAAAGAAATGAGTCACCAAATTTCTTTGTAAGCGTTGGAATTGTGGCCACAGACGGGGGCAACGTAGGCCAGCGCGCGTGGTCCTCTGAAGGTAAGAGGAAGGTGGAATAAGAGAGAATAACACCTCAGAACACTCGCCGTGGTACAGACGATAGAACGCGCTTAGTGACGCCACGTCACGGCATAATTGAAGTGGCTCGAGGTGTTAAGTCACCTCCTCATCGCCTAGAATGCGGATCGCGCACCGCTGTAACCTATTCAAAGCATCGAGCAAGTACTTGGCGGAGCCATCCCAGTTGCAAAGAATCAGTAGAGTCCAGATAGCTATTGCAACAGTTTTGGCTGCCACACAAGCCATCCTGAACTCGGTAAAGTGCTCACACATACCTCTTTTAAAAGTACACGGGAAAAGAAGAAGATTGCGCTTGTATTTCTTAAAAATCCTTGAAATGAGGTGCGAAGGAGCTAGGTGAGAATGGCCGGTGTAGCAGGATAAACTGCTACACCAACTAGCTTCGCGTGTGGACTCCACTATCACTTAACATCAGGTGGGGTGGAGTCAATTACAGGAACCTAAGTATAAAAAATATAGAATGAGATAAAGGACTATATTTGTTCATAAACGTATTTATTTGACTAAACGCACTGTCAATCCGTACCCCAAGCTCGAACTAATAGCGAGAAAGTATTCATATCGTCACATGGAAGTTTCAATGGTTAAGGCTAGTTTGTTCCTGCGTTAGGTAGGGGCGCTGTTTTTTTTCCATAGAAACCTTGACGTTGGTGATACGAACACGGATCAGTGAAAGTTAGTGCTTGGAGTTCCGTAAAGTAAAACTGGGTAGATGAGTGTGAGAGAGACGATGCTATCATGCGGTCAATAGTTCGTAAAGGTATTTCATTCTAATATAGTTGTTAATATCATGCGAGTGTCGCTCAGTCCATTATCTATATCTATGACTATATCACATACATTGCTTTAACTTCAAATTATCTAAAATTGGATTATGAAAATAAGAAGCAAGCTTTGAGCAACTTGATCCCTAGAAATTAGGTAATTTTGCTTGCAGGGTAGTAAGCATTGTTCACATACCACATATATATTGTATACAAAAGATTGCAGAGTGTGAGTAAGGTCACCAGAGCACCACTACATGCATCATGTAAGTTTTAAATCCGTGGGTTGAGATTTCGATATGGCGAGTCTCAAACCTAAGCATCTTAAAGATGATCAGGTTACAAACAGTGGTCCCTTATCATCAGTCAAACCTACGATTGTTCACCGCTTGTTTAGAACAAAAACAATTAATTATAACAACGCACAAACATTCATACGCGTAAAAGTTCTAATTAAACTTGCACAAAAACAACTGAAGTCGCAGAATTAAAAAAAAAACAGTGTCGCGAGGTCTAATCACGCATCAGTACTGGGAAGCGTCGCACGGTTAATACCAGCCACGGCCACACACGAAGCTTTTGCGGCAAAAAGTCCATGTAATTCATGTTTGGTTGCTTGCAAAAAGTCGGTCTGTACGGGTGCCGGTAAGGGTATGTCCATGATGACAGCGATTAGCTAAGCGCTTAGGTAACTATTCCACTAGACTCTAGTGCGAAAAAATAGGAGGCAGACAGAGATAGAGAATTTTTACTGAGGGAGCAAAGAACTATTTTAAAGGCTCGTCACTCGTGGTTTAAAATACTGCTTCACTCAAGGTGGTTACTCGACTTTTTATCACCGTCTCACCCTGATTTTGAGATAGATAGACCCCATTACAAGAACGGTCTCAAAATTACAGCATTGACGGCCGTAGACGAATATTTGGTTAAAAATTCAATTAATGTAATTGACTCATATATAAAATGAATAGGAGACGAATTTGTTTCTCTATTTTACCGCAGCATGTGTCATATCATTGCCTAGAGCTCGTTGAGCAGGATATAAATATAATTTTTATATTTTTTTATTTATAATTAAAAAGGAAA